TATTGATGATGATCCAGGTGTTATTTGTTCATTGGTTTGCAGGATAACTCAAAAAGTTATGAACAGACATTAATGAAATATTTTACCATAGGCTTATCTTACCAAACTTGGATGGCATTAAATTTTGATGTTGATTTGGGTCATGATGTGGATCCAGGATTTTTTCTTTGCATCGGTGACCCGAATGCTTGCCGGACGAAATCACACTCAGAGCGCTTCTAGTTGTTATTGTTATTATTATTATTTATTATTATTATTTTTTTTATTATTATTATTTTTATTAGTATTACTATTGCTATTGTGGTTGTTGTTGTTTTCATTATCATAATCAACATTATCATCATTGTTTATTCATTATTGGTGTTGTTATTGTTGTTGTTATTACTATTATTACTATTGTTGTTGTCATCATTGTCGTCATCATCAATATTAACATCAACATAATAACATAGTTAACAATTATGAAATGAAAATGAAAAATTTATTCTCAGAAAATTCAAGGAATTTAGGTTGGTTTACTAAACAATATTAATATAGTAGAAGCTCAGTGAACAGATCAAGTATTCATGCACTCTGTCTCAATGGGTTAGGTTCTCATATACACTTAATAACTCCAAAGGTACTGTTTATGATGGCTGAAAATATTTGTAAAGTGTGGCATAGACACTGTATAGTAGTGCCTCCTGCTTCATGCATGGGCAAGTGTTCAGCTTGCAGTCAAAACCTAATCCCTGTGATTAGGACATAGACTCAAGATGAGGCTGAGTGTAACCCGGCTTCTTATAATATTTGCCATGAAATGAAGGACATCACCTGTTGCTAGTGGATTTAACAGCAAAATATTTGTAAATTTCCTCCTGATGCAGAGCAACAAAAACCTTTTTGTTTACAGTTGCTTCGCAATGTCACCATTGCATCGGGAGGAGTACTTCCCAAGATTCACCCTGAGCTGTTGGCTAAGAAGAAGGGTGGAAAATTTGTTACAGGAGGCAACACACCTGTGGCAGTGCCCTACAAAAAACCCATTGCTACAAAACCTCCAGCGCACAAGAAGGTCAGTCAGAGTCTGGAAATTTGTATTACAATTTTGAAAAATAGTTATTAAAAATAATTATATCTGTGATCGTTATGGTGAATGGGCTTTGTTGATGTCTTTCTATTTGTTTCAGATAACAAACAAAATGAACGGCAATGTCAATGGAGCCACACCAACCAGTGGGGCTTCACCAACTTTATCTAATGCCATGGCAGTGGCAAACAAGACTCCAAATTCTGCTGCAAATGCTGCTGCAGGTTAGAACTTCTTTTAGTAATTTTGTAATATTTTATCCTTTTCATTTAGCCGGCATGGACAGCACTGTCAGTATAGTTTAGTAATCCTTTTTATCCAACAGTGAGGGAAGAAATTGATGCTGGATTAGATGGAAATTCATCATATTGGAGATTATGTATAGTGATATTTCTAAAAATACAGTAGTACTTTGGCCCTTTCAGAAGCAAAGATATGCTTTCAAATGGGAAACATTAGCAATTTATTGAGGACAATAATATACCATGTACAGTCACCTTGGTCATCATGATGTCCTTTTCAATACAAAACAGTTATTCAGAGCATGGCGTGAAAAGTACTCAGAAGTCAATGGTCACTTTTGGATGTATCAACTTTTGTTAACATGATTTACTTTTAGTTATAACCATCAGTATTAACCCATTCGAGCCAGGATAACATCATTGTGTCATGCATGGTTGAGCCTTCTGTAAGTCATACAGTAGTAGTCTTGAAGCTTCTTTTTAGCCTCATTCACTTGAAGATTGTTTATGCCAAGAGCATATTGAGCAGGATATTTTTGCTTCTTGTGTGTGTGTGTGTGTGTGTGTGTGTGTGTGTGTGTGTGTGTGTGTGTGTGTGTGTGTGTGTGTGTGTGTGTGTGTGTGTGCATGTGTGTGCGTCTGTATGTGTGTGACTAGGTGTGTGTGTGTGTGTGTGTGTGTGTGTGTGACTAGGTGTGTGTGCGTGTGTGTGTGTGACATGCATGTGTGCCATGTGTTGTGTGTGTGTGTGTGTGTGTGTGTGTGTGTACAGAGGCAGCCAACTGAGTAGTTCTGATATACTTCAGAGTGCAAGAGGTTGGTAACTGACAAACTGCTTTATTGAGAATAGACACACTTCTGTTTTACTATAGGGCTTCCCATAGACTTGATAACTGTGTACAAATGGTATGGAAGTTGTTCTCGATCCAAGTGATCCTACATTATTATCTCAGGTTCGTAGACAAATGTTTGTTCATTAGGGTCACTTCATTTACAATGCTTCACTTGAGTGTAAGGATCAGCCTCTGATCCTTACACTCAAGTAAGGTGTTGGATCTGAAAGCTTTCCCCACAAGGACTGGAATCAAATTGTTTCCTCATCATATTCTTCATCTCTGGTAATTTTCCGGGAAGATAACAGAAATGATAATAGAATGAGAGATCAACACCCCACTGTCAGTGAAAAATATATTGTGATACACCATACGTAACTAAAGGCAATTGGTTTCGTGTCTCCTGCTTTATACAGATCAAATGTTTAGGTTATTTTCTCATTTGACAGTTGTTTAAATTTTGACTTGACCCTAGAAGTGGCAAAAAAATCCAGAGGACAGTAGGAAATTATACAGCTTAATTGTGGCCACCTTACTCTTGGGGGAAGAAATGCCAAATCCTTTAAGACATGTTACTCATTTGACCAGAAACTTCAAGGCCAAAATAGATAGGTGTTACTTAATATTGACTCTTGAGTAGTCAGCGACTACTCATTTGGCCAACATTGTGTTTGTAATGTTTTTATTTTTAATTTTATTGTATTTTATATATTTTTCTCCCTTTCTTTCTCTTTTTCTTTTTTTCTTTTTAATATTTAATTTTTAAGAAGTGACAAGAAAACTGACTTTAATCTAATAAAGTTTTTCTTTTTTGTTGACAGGGTCAGCCTCCCCACTAAAATTGAGAGCTAAAGGTAAAGACATTTCATCAGTTTTGCCACCCCCAGGACCATTCACTGTACTCTCAGAGAAGAAACTCTTTCTTGGCCAAAAGGTTTGTAGTTGGGGAAATATTCCTCTTAACTTTGATTTTGGATCATGAATGATAATGATTAACTGTCAGTTTATAAAAATTATGTGAGGTGTGACCCTGTGAATATTGGTATATATGGACACACACACAAAAGCAGTGGTAAATCTTTAAGTCAAGGCATGCAGATCAACTGGATTGACAGACAGATAGATAAATGAATATCTATCAGAAAGATACAAATATTGATAAATTCATCTATAATATAGATACAGATATACATAAATTCATCTATGAGATTGATACAGATATGCATTTATTTATGTGTATATGCATGCCAATATGTATGAATATTCATTGGGTCGCGCCTCGCTCTATTTTGACAAACAGACCGTGAATGTAAGGCTCAGACAGTTCAAAACTTTCGATATGTAGGATTACCAATATTGCTTGATTTTCAGGTAAGAAATATCCTTTTAAAAGATATATTTATATATGCTTTTGTATCCATTCCAGCTAACGGTGATACAGTCAGACATATCAACAGTGACAGCAGATGCACTTGTTCACCCCACAAATTCCAACCTTGATTTCCTTGGTGAGGTAGGACAAGCTCTAAGCAAAGCTGCTGGCAAGGAATTTGTCCAAGAAGTCCGTAATGTAGCAAACTGTGAGGGCCCTCTGCCAGCATGTGGTGGTATGTACGCTTTTCATGGTATCAGAGGAGGATATGATCTGATTTATATATAAATGAAAGATATCTGTTTGAATGTTGTTAAAGTGTTATGTCATATATATATATATATATATATATATATATATATATATATATATATATATACATATATATATACATATATATATATATATATATATATATATATATTATATTATATATATATATATATATTATATATATATATATATATATACATATATATATATATATATATACATATATATATATATATATATATATATATATATATATATATATATATATATATATATTATATATATATATATATATAATATATATATATATATATATATATATATATATATATATATATATATATATATATATATATATATATATATATATATATATACATATACATACATATATATATATATATATATATAATATATATATATATATATATATATATATTATACACACATATATATACATGCATACATACATATATATATATATATATATATATATATATATATATATATATATATATATATATATATATATATATATATATATATATATATTATATATATATATATATATATATATATATATATATATATATATATATATATATATATACATATATATATATATATATATATATATATATATATATTAATATATATATATATATATATATATATATATGCATATGCATTATACACATATACAATTTATATATTTTAGGTATATATAATGTTTACCTGAATTTTTCAGTTGCTATATGCAGTGGGTTCAAGCTTCCATCACGTTGGGTCATTCATGTAAATGGACCAACCTTAGGAGATGTGGATGCATTTGATAAGTTAGAACGATGTGTCAAGAACTGTTTAGTTCTTGCTGACAAACAAAACTTGAAATCTTTGGCTCTGCCTTCCATTGGTAGCGGCAAGTAAGTTGATTTCTTGAAAAAATAATTCATGGTGTTTAATCACTTGTAAATAATTGAATATTTGTTACCAACTCATTTGCTTGCATGTATCTTGCACTATTATCATTGCATGAAACAAGATTAACAGTAGATTAAGATAGTTATTTCTCTTAATATCATAGCACATGTAATGCTTCTTATTTATTTTCTCATCACGTCATTGCAGAGCTGGATTCCCAAAGCAACAAGCAGCACAAACCATAATCAAGTCCATCTGCAGCTACTTTGTTAATGTCATGTCATCTTCGCTGAAACAGATATATTTCGTCCTCTACGACATGGAAAGCATTGGGGCATATACTGCAGAACTGGCAAAGTTGGACTCTTAAAGGTGAGAAGAAATAGTGGTGGGACTCCACTATGTTGTCAGTCATATTACAAGATGTTTACCATTTTCCATTATTCTGTGGAATACATTTCAGTAGGATAACTTTGATTTCAGTAGATCTTTCTTTCTTTCTTTCTTTCTTTCTTTCTTTCTTTCTTTATGCTGTGCATCAAAAAATGGATTTGACTGTTGCAGGATTTTCATATTTCAATAGGATTTCTTGTATTTCAGTAAAATAAGGGTTGGATTATTTTTATATGTGGGATGTAAAGAAGAGGATTTAAATGTTGCAGGATTTTCAAATTTATTTTTTTATATGTTGTTTTTGTGTATGGAAAAGATGTATTTACTGGTGTTTTATATATCGTTTATTCACACTCACTTGCATGGTTGATTAGTAAAAGATGCACAGAATTTTGTGCTTTTATGTCTAAAAGCAATTTTATCATCCTGTTTAAATGTTAACTACTTTCTTGTTGTTACAGGCAGTCTGGCATTTGATATATGGATCTCCAAACAGCCTCAAAAGTTAGAGTACAAGTTAATTCTCCTGATCACTGAGGCAACACATATTGGGAAGGAACGCTCAATCCAGCCTTGGCATAATATCCACACTGTCGTTACAGCCATACTGCGCATTTCTCTCCACTTGAATGATCCCTCATTTATTACCGTACCAATGTGGATAAGTCAGAATAGTTTAAGCAAAGATTTTATCTTGTTTGTTGGAGGATTGGAGATTGTTGATGCATTGCAGACTTGACAGTTCATTTGTAGTAGCCATGTAATAGTTGCTTATTGAACAGTTTGACAGAAAGGAACCTCAAAAGAGAAGTGACCCAAGTTTAAAGTTTACTAAGTTATCCAAGTTAAGTTTAGTAAAATTACTCACTGAAATAAGTACTTACCTAATTTTGTTACATGCAGAATCATGCACGAGATTAATTTCATGTTTTGTTTCTCAGCCAAATGGCTCTCTGTCTATTGTCTGTTGATATGTGATTGGCTTCTGTGGTGCTTTAATAGCAAGTGATATATTTGTTTGTTATGGACATGTGTTTAATGTATGAAGACATGTAAACATGACCTCAACATAAACACATTTGTGTAAACATACCTAGAGCTTTATGTTAGTCTATGAAAATCTTTATATTTATTTCAGTTTTTATTGATTTTTGTTTTTCTGTTATTGACTCAAAGAGTGATTAAGCTTAAGTGTAATATAGTGGAAAATGAGACTAGTCGTGATTGAATTATATAAGAAAACATTAATTTTGTTATGTAAATAAGCATATTTTATTTAAGAGTGCCAAGCAGCTTTTCCATGGGTATCATTGACAAGTGAATTTTCCAGTCAGTGAACTTGGCAGTGAGGAGAATTTGAAAGAAGATTGATTTGAGGAAATTGGAGAATGTGAAATATATTTGTGTTTCACAGAATGCAGATATAAAGTGAGACTCCAGTTTGCATCAAACATTGCTGGGGTAACTATAGTGAACTAGTGATTCCCCAGTGTGATGCCATTCATTAGTCATGGTGTCAAATAGTCACAGTCCTTGTTGGAAGTGGCAGGATTGACTTTTTTATTAAGTACATTTTTCACCTATGATCATATATATAGTTTCTGGTCCTGTGGTGCAAGTGAACACTGCTAGCCATCTTGCAACTTCCTGATGAGAGAACACACAATTACTAGTATAGAATAAGATTGATGAAGTGGTTTAACCCTTGCCTCTGTTTCCTTTGTGTTGGCTGTATTTACCTCTAGTTTTTATTATTTGTTTCTAATGATCACCATGGATCAAAGGAAAATTAAGTGTTAAATGAATTCATTTTACTTGTGAGATGTTTTTCATAAGCACTGGAGTGGAAATTAGTGCATTAATGCAGCATAGTGCTTCATGCTTAGATTGGTTTGGAAACACAACAGGTTTGTCTGATGATAATCAAGTGACTATATATAGATGTGTATAAATGCTAAGTCATATGTGATAATACAAATAATGGATTGCTTGAATATACATAATGGAGGCTGGATTAACGAGAATAAGTTTGTCAAAAGTTGTTTAGAGTCCTGATCATAGATACTGAAAAAGCATTGCTTTCTTAAGAGACTTGGCTTTATCAGAATTGCATATAATGCAGCAAATGGCTGTGAACTTAAACTTTCATTTATAGGTTACGTTGTAGTAGAAAGAGTCCATTTTTATCTCAGTGTTGAAAATGAAAGATGCAATATGTCACATGGAATATAAGGGAGGAAAATTAAGGGCATTTGGTTAATTTGCATAAGAAATACCTTTGACTAACAAAGATCAGAACAGGCTTTGTGCAGGTGGTTGAAAGAAGGATCTTGCATCGTTGTAGTTTTCAGTTGAGAGTTAGATTTGAGTGTAGACTTTGTGCATTTGCACTTATGGGTAGAAATTAAAGTTATCTTTTATCAAAAATGCAAAGAGAAGTAGCTGGCTGCAGCATATCAAAGGATTTAGTCAGCAATGACATTTTTTTACCTCAGTCAGTGCAGAGGTGGTTGGATTAAACATAGCTAGGAAGGTTATGACAAATATTTTAGATTTCTTTGTTATTCTTCTCCATATTTTTATGTAATTTGTTATTGTTGTTTTTGACGTACTTGTATTTGGAGTCTTGTATCCAGTGATTATTTAGATTACTTTGTGTCAAAAAGAGGCACAAGATGTGTGATGTTAATTTAAGTGATGTTTGTTACATTTCATCTATTTATGTGAATTTAAGACAAATCTTTACAAAGAAAATTTAGAAATCTCCATGGTCTTGCTAAGGGAATTCATGTATAGCTATGATTTAATTGATAAGTTAAAACTGCTCTTGTCAAATGTTAATCTTCCTAAGGAAAAGGGCATTATGTAGGTCATGCTTGACTTACAAAGCCTGCATTTGTGATTGTGTATTGTGATGGCCAAAAAGTGTGAAGAAAGAAAAGATAGAGTTGGAAATGTGAGATTATTTATTCTAAGAAAATATTATAAAAGTATTTGATTATTATATCATAAATTTTGTTATTATTTTATAGTTAGTTTATGTATTTTGTCATTTTCATGGGAATCAAAAATCAATATAACAGACTATCTTGAATGGTGTGGCAAGTATATGAATAAGTGTTTAAGGGCTCAGGGATTTTCTTTTTACAATCCCTCTTTAAAGAATTGATAAGGAGAACAGGGTTGGAATAATCAGGACTGATCATTTGTTTTGGGTATCCAAATTTGTAATTAATTTGCTGGTTTCTCATTTGGTGGTTTGCTGAAGTAAGGAGTAAATTTTATCCATAAGCAAGTTGCATGTGTACGTTCATGTTAATGTAAGTTTGTACAGTCGTAAATGGCAACAGCATTAGGTTGGAATTGATAGAAACATCCCATTAGATAATGTCCTTATGTGTGGTTAATGTGCACTTACACTTGTGAACTCTGTCTTTTTGGTATCTGATTGTATCATTTTGACAAATACATTACAAAAAAAATATTTTCAGTGAAGTTTAGTGTGTTTTAAAACTGTATTTAATACCATGTACTGAGCATTATGTTATTTCAATGCTCCTTTTAAAACCATATGCTTAAATTTTATGTTTAAAGATGTGAATTGTTGAATTGTTTCCCCATGTTCAATTCATCATATTGGCGAGCATGCTTGAAATTTCTAGTTATTAAGGAAATATTCAAAGCAGTTGAACCACCAAGTGCTAGTGAAAGGATGAGGGCTGAATCAAATTCTTTCCCTCATCAAGTTCAGTTCCTAGCAATTGTAACAAGATGGGCAATCCCCCAGGATGGCTCTAGCAAGGGCCACTAATTGGGCTCTTGCTCGAACTTACACCAAATAGCAAAGTGAGTTCATGTAATAATGTTTGGATTCTGAAGGCATATTTTAAGTTATAAATATTGAACAAATAGAGGTCTTTTTGTTCTTACCTCTTGCAGAATTTCTATTTGCTGTTGAAGCCATACAATTTGAGAACCTATTCAGAGCCAGGCATTTAAGACAGAAGTTCACTCAGTTTTACTCTAATTCTCTTCATACGTTCCTGACTTGTTCTCTGCAATTTAAAGCTAAGTATGTGAGCAGCACGGACTGATTCACAAGCCAGCCAGAATAGAAATAGGTAGTTCATGTATTATTTCTAAATTTCATTCAACCCTGTTCAAAATCTCTTGCAGCTCCATTCAGTATGTTGCCACCTACTTAAAGTCATTAGTTGTAAAATATACAGAAATATAAAGGTAACTGCATTTTGAGTGAATTAAAAGTGATGTGACTGTTTTTTTATTTTTTAAATTTTGGTTGGGTGTTAAAAATTTTCACAAGTGTTAAAATGTGCACAAACAGTCACAAATGTCACCAAAGTATTTTAGAAGAAAACAGTGTGATGCAAACATGTATAGTGGCAGCAAAGAAGGATGTGTGTGTGCTAAGGAGACAGATGATATTTCTTGTATTATGTACCTATAATGTACATAACTTCTTACGCTGTTTGAAACCCTATAGAACTAGAAGGTTTAGACAATGATTCATGAAGTTCATTATGAAAGATAGTTTTGTTTTTCCATATACTGTAGATTAGAAAACTTCTGTCACATATTTGTTTTTGTTTTTCTGATATTTTGTGAGACCTTGGTTAGTGCTTCATAAGTATGTGTATGAGAATATGAAATAATGTATATGTGAACTTCAAATTTCAGGAGATATATAAATGAAATTTTTAACATTCATGTAATAAACAAAGAGTTGGATAATATTGTTTCTGTGCCATGCTGTGCTTTCTGATTATTAACCAAATTTAATGACATGCAAGAGTTTAACAACTTTATCACAAATGATGTGTAATAGTGGAAATTAATATTTTTAGGCTTCAGAGTCTTGTAATAAAAAGTGTTTTTG